TAGTCAGTGTTGGGGTAAATTCGACATTGATGTTTTCAGTTTGCAGGAAATTTGCTCGACTGCTTATACTGATTATTTGCATGCATGATTGTGTCGCTAAACCATCAATTAGACTGACAAGGTTTTGAGATATTTACTGAATGAGCAACTGATAGAGAAACATACTGTAATCATCTGTAGCGAATGAAGATACCAAGAAAACAACACTAGTGATAATTGTAAGTCAATTTGTTGACCGATTTTGTTAATAGTTTCGTTAATTTTATCAATCATATTACGTGATTGTCAAGTCATGACAATGCTTTATGACGATATCCTGAAACTATTAAATTTAACTAGTTATAGTGTTGACTGAGGATTAGTCAGTGGAAAAATAGGTATTGTTGCTTTAGGTGATTCGAAATTATCAGAAATTTATAACGTTAAAGAATCCGAGATGCCTAATTTAATTATAAATTTTAATTCAGAAAGATTCGTTTAGTGTTAATTCTAGTAGGCTACGGAGTTTTGATTTTAAACGTTTGTTTAGCCAACAGCTACCTGGGGATTTAGTTATTTTACTAGTGCAGTTGATAGTACCTAAATCTTTAATCTTATTATCTAAACTATGTTCGCATTTTAGACTGCTAATATGATAAACCAATCCATAAACCCAAATATGATTAGCAACAACGACTATGATGGGATTATTGATAAACGTTAAAGGCGATTCAGATGATTTCTAAATTCAAAAGATATGAAGATATAGTGTAACGTATGTACGGGCCACGTTAACATGCAGGTTGTTGACGTATATAAAAATTTAAAAATAATGAACATGACCAGGAAAAGTAATTTTATAGTCAAGACTGCTTATGAAACTTCAGGCAAGAATGTAACGCGTTATAAACATTCCATAAGAAGTTACTGCATTTAGCCTAGTGACACTTACAAATATGTGGCAAAAGCAACTGGAAAGCATATACATGTTAAGTACAAAAAATCATTAAGTAAAATAGTTGAACTCGCCTGGATTATTTTTGAAAATTATATTATCCAGTGGACGACTTATATAACGCCATTCGTGAGTAGTATTGATCCAAAAGCATCCAGAATAAATCATGCAGTATGGCAATTAATTCCAGAGTCCTTGATGCTGTTGAGGTTTTTGCCACTCGCTCAGATCAGAACAATCGAATGAACCCAGATAATTGTGTGGTTGTTATTGAACGAACCATCTAACAATGACCTTATGATTGCAGAAAACTTATAGCTGGAACTCACTGTATGTTTTTGGAGAAGTGTCATCCTTGTTGTTTGGCAATGGAACTCGAGAATATGAAATTAGGCAGGCAGTGGTCGGAAGAAAAGATATTACAGGATAGTGCATAGTTTAAAACAGGATGAGGTGTTAAGTGAAGGGACACTGAGAATTAGATCCAGATAACTATTTAGTCCTTGATTGCATTGCTAGTCAATGTATATTTACGCTATTTACAGGTTATATTTGCTAGAGCTTGATGTCTAAACAAGTCTATGTCGCTGAAGCAGGTAAATGCTATTAAAGCTTGTTAACGAACCATCAAAGCTAATTAGTTGATATAGATGATCAACTTTTATTATCGATTGAGCTAGTAACTTATGTGAACTAATAGATATAACATTACGATAATATGTGACCATTAATCAAAGGACTAATAGAATAGTGGGTTTACAAAAATAAAAACCGATTGAGAAGGTTAAGGTGGAAATAAGGATTAACAATAATAGGTTGCGTTTCTTTAGTTGGGCTCACCAATGTAAAATTATGGTCTACTATGATATTAGTACTGCTCTAATAATAGACCTAATCCTAAATTTGTAGATTTTGTCATGATATAACTGCCTAATCTATAAGATCTTACGTGGAAGTCACACCATCGACTACACCAACTCACTGTATCGTATCAATTACCAATACATGATGTAGAACAAGGTTAGGCTAGAGAAAGAACAATATATTTAATATGAATAGAAGATATAAAGTAACATTGAGATAGACCACGCCTGCATGGACAAGCCATGCCATCCGATCAAACCCAGTCCATTCAATTCATTCTTCGCGCCTTCTCCATCGTTAGGTATTTATCCGCGTTAAATATTGAATATCTATTTTCTGAGTAGTCTCGTGTTCAGCTTAGTGGATTGTGCGGTTATTATTCAATGCCACTACAAACCTTCAAGTTATCGGCCGGTGGCTCTTCTGTCATTACCTTCAAAACTCATGGAGTTTCTGATATGCGACGGTTTAAATGACTATCTACTGTCCTTAAATTTCTTCTCACTCCAACAGCATGGTTTCAGGAAGGGTTTTTCTTGCATAACCAACCTGCTGACTGCGGTGGACAAATGGACAAGCATCCTCGATTGCAAGGGAAAGGTTGACATCATTTACCTTGATTTCTCAAAAGCTTTTGATAAGGTTAACCACTTGTGTCTTATCAACAAGCTCAAACGACTAGGTATCAAACCACCTCTAATCGATTGGCTTACTTCATACCTAAAAAATCGACACTTTAAGGTTAGGGTTAATTTCACTTTATCTCAGGCTATGGAATGTCCTAGTGGTGTCCCCCAGGGCTCAGTACTAGGGCCTCTTCTCTTCTTGATCTACATAAATGATCTTCCTCAACAGGTAACGTCAGACTTATTACTTTTTGCCGACGACGTGAAACTTTGGAGAGAGATACGCAACCAAGTCGATATACAGGCACTTCAGGAGGATCTGACTCGACTTCAAATTTGGGCAAACGATAACGAACTTACCTTTAACACTTCAAAATGTAAAGTAGTTGTTGGGATATTCAGGAAAATATCCCAAAAATTATCCTGTTAAGCCTAATGCTATCCTTGGACATGGAATGGTATCATCTTATTGGTCAATATTTGTTTAACGTGTCACTTTCCTACTGGCCATTATTGTACAATGTTATTTTCTATTTTATGGTACGTTGTGGTCTGCTTGACTGGTATATAAACAAAGTATGTTTGAAATATAATGATTCATATATCCGAGGCTGAAACTTGTGTTCTGGACTCAATTGGCTGGGCTAGACAGGGAAGCGAGACCAATCAGGGCACTAGGTCGTTCTACGTGTTTGCGCGTCTTTGGTCCGAGCAATAATTCGCTACCCTTAATCCGCAGCATTTATTTTTCACGTTATAACAGTAGTCCATCTGCGACATGTCGCAGACTACAGTTACAACTTAGGAAACTCCTCTCTAGTAGTATCCCAAGTCGAAAAAGATTTAAGAGTCCTGATGCTCCTATGATTTAAAGTCTTAGTCTAACTGCGACAAAAATGCCTTCCGAGCAAACCTTGCACTGGTAACGTTGAAGCGCATTTTTGGACAGTCTGACGGAAGAACTTTCCATATAATCCTCAATAGTTTCATCCGTCCCCATTTAGAGTATGGAAAGATAGTAGTCCCCCCTCACTCCAAAAGGATAAGGACACTTTGGAGCGTATCCAACGGCGAGCCACGAAATCAGTTCGAGGACTCAAATTTAAGCCTGACGAAGAGCGCCTCCACTCACTAGACCTTTACCCATTAGAGTATAGGCATCTTAGAGGTGATTTATTAATAGGTTATAGTATTCTTAACACTTCTGGACATCCTCTTAAAAACCTATTTAAGCTTAGTTCGAACAATATCCTAAGGGGTAACACCCAGAAACTGGAAACACAACATAGCAAGACGGAATGTAGACACAACTTCTACTCCTTAAGAGTTGTCAAAAGCTGGAATTCGCTGCCGGCCGAGCTAGTCCAAGCGAATTTTCAGGAGTCCTTCAAGAGGCAACTTGACCTATTCTTAAGGACCAAGGACAGCATCACATTATGATTTACCAATTTCTTTTCCTTTTTTATTGTTAACATACCTAGGTTCCTGCCTAGAGGATTTGGTGATCCCCTGCTACTAGACACGGAAGCCTGTTAAGCGAAAGCTTCTTCTATTCCGTCCACAACCATTTGAACCATTTGAACCATTTGAACACATCCGTTTGTTTGTACCGCGACCTTGGGGGATTGACGCGGGTCAGCCACTTATGACTCTCATATCGGGTCAAATTGCTTGCTTCTAGTTTCGGTTTTAAGATTATCTTGATCTGAGACGTTTTATTTCTGGTTGCTGTCTACTGCTTTTTGTAGTAGATGTAAGTACGTTGTGTGTGGTTGCTGGGTATTCGACTCGCCTATTTTTTCGTTTACAGTACTCACGCTACTGTGCTTCCTCCCCTAGTACACAAAGTACCTTTTGGCTAGATGCATATCGCTACGTACTTGGCGAGCTTGCCAAGATGACGACTATAAAGTAATGTGCACTTAGACGTGGTTCTAATTAGGCTACCACGAGTATTGGGACAGTGCTTTGTCAAAAGGGCGAGCTTTAAATCTACAGTTGTAACGGGTTAAACTATCTGTTTCTAGTTTCGGTCCTCAGATTGTCGTAATATAAGGCTTGTGCTATTGCTGATTTTTGTCTTTTGTTCTTCGTAGTAAACGTAAGTACATTGAGTCTGCTGAGTCGTTGACTCAACTTTTTCTTTTGTTCTCTTTTACAGTCCTCACACTGCCTGCTCTCCTCTAGTACACAAAGTACCTTTTGGTGAGACGCAAACCGCTTCAATTAGTAAAGAAATTGACTTTTCGTCCCGTTTTTCTTTGCTGGAAAGCTTATTGCATTTACCAACTTGATTTCCAGAGTTTTCTGTCTACGCATTTAAACTGTTAGGTCTTGACGTAAGTGTGTCCTATCCGCTCTCTACTCACTTTCTGTTTTTATAGATCATCTTGCTGAATTAACCCTTGCTTCTTTAAACCTACATACACAGTGCTTAACTGTTTCTAATCACAAAGTATTCACAGGTTAAGCGTAAATATTCTAGCATTTAAGGGTCACAGTACAATTCTCATATTTTGTGTACTTGTAAGGTGCATTGGACAGCATCTAGTCCTCGTGGAGCCGAAAGTAATTTAATGAGAAACGTAAGTGGTTAGGTTTACTCTTTTTTACACTTTCGTTTAAAAGATTTTAAAAGCGGTCATTAAGCTATATTGAGACATACTAAGTGTGGTAGTTAGATGTTCGTCATATTTAGATAATTCGTTAAGGTTACTTATCAGGGATTTAGTATGCTTAGTCTAGGTTTCTGTTTAGCCGGCTTATACATAAAGTATGTGCCAGTATGCTTCAAATGGGTGCGAATGGAAGAAAGCAGTTTTTCGTTTCATGGGTTGTCTTGTTCCTTTGTATCAATCAACCACCTATGCCTCCCGATAGAAACCTTGATATGTAAAAACCAAAAATGTGAAGGGCTTTCTAAAATTAACTTATGGTGTTATGCTGAGTTGTCGGAATTTATTCCTGAAGTGGTTCGAGACAGGTTGCTTGGACCACTTCAGATGATAAAAAGTTCCAAAATTTTGAGTTTTGTGGTGTGGTGGACACGTTTAAAGGATTTTTAGAAACGAAAATATTTCATTTGGCTAACTCTTACAACATGAGTACTGATCCAGTTATATCTTGCTGTCAACAGATTGGTGATACAGGAGTGACTTCTTGAAACCATGCCGTTGAGGTACAATGAAGTTTGTCGTTAATTAATCATGTGTTCACATCAAACACCAAAAGTCTAGAGGTGGCAACTCATACCAATGTAAATACGTACCGAGTTCTACGTTGTCACTGATTTACGAAATCTCGTTACATATTTAAAAAGACTGGTTGGCTTTTGTCACTTATGGCGTAGACAGATGTCCATCTATCAGTCAATGTGTGTACTGTAGTCGCAGTCTACTTGCATAGAGTTTGGTTATAAAAGCTACGAAAGGCCAAACCAAGACATAGTATTAGTCCTTAAAGTCAGTGTTTGATGTCCTAGGCCATCGGTGGATGCAGATTACTTGGTCGTTCGCCCGATAACCTTGATCGGTTGTTAGAGACTTTATGTACCATGGCTCGAGATCAGTCCCAATGGTGTGGATTCATCCATTCACAATCAACCTTCACTTCGATTTCGAATTCTAATATTCCTTTATACATACCTTCCTAACATCATTTCGAACTATATCTCAAATGTTTAGGAGTCCTCTATATCATAGCTGCTACACTATCTCAATATGTTTTGCAATTCATCTTGTTAATTTTACCTCATCCTGGCAACATATTATGTAAACTTGAGTCAGCGCACATATTTGCTAGACTCTACGTTGATGATGATTAACTATCACTTACGACAGGTTTGAAAATCAGTTTATTTTCAATGATTTGGCGAATATTGTAAGGGCTGAATATATTAGTCTATAATGGTCTAACACTAAGCGTTATGCTAATGTAAAAACCTCAGATCCAAATTGCAGCTGCTTTCATCAATCTTACTCAAAACCAAATTACTGTATATCTCATTCTCTTCATTTATAGCGTACGTTCTCAGCCAAAACTTTAATTTACTGACGGGTAGAATTAATGGGAGATTCAAAATAACCATTAGCGACCGAGATTTAGTAAGTATAATATAACTTACCGAGCACAAGTTTATGTGCTCGGCGCTGGGCCACATAGTAAGGACTAGTGATGCCACTCGGTTTCCAAGCCCGTTTTGTAAAACATGAGACATGATTGAAAGGCATGTGCTTTAGCTAATTAACTGACGCTCCTCAGATTGCAGTTTTATGCTTTTGGGGTTAAGATTCATTGTCTGCATAACGCGTCTTGGTTATCTTATTCGACCATATTAGTCTTAAACAGCGTAAGATTTCATCCTTCATAGTATGGGGAAGGGAAACTAACGTGACTGACAAAACAGTTGGGATAAGAATATCAAGAATGGTAAAAATGAGACAGTATAGAGTGGTAAAATAAAAAGTACGATATACTATTAAAGATAAAGATTTCTTACTAGCGGTCACCATCTCCAAATTACTTTCCCCCGCATACGTCTGCTTTAAAGGCCTTGGTTAACTTATTTCCATCAGTATGTTATTGATAAATTCCAACTCCTTCATGGTATTTTCTGGGTAGATCGTTTTTGTTTTGTTTGTAAGATATCTGACCAGATTCCTTTTGTAGCGCACCGGCGTGAAACTATAGAAGTGTGTGTAGTGGCAAAGAAAGGAGCCCTTCGTATGCACGATTTTGCTTAACGAGCCCCTCAACCCGTCTACTTAGTGAAATGTCAAAGAAATTTAGTCTCTTGTCAAGCTCGTTCGGGTTTAGAAATGAGCCAATAGCTATTCCATCAATTTGTCCATAATAATTATCGTTGAAGATAGAATGGACGCTCATCGTATACCTTAAGAGTAATTCCTTGAGTCTATCCTCACAAAAACCAATGTCGACTTATTTTTTATATTTATGTACATATAAACTCGATTGTCTCGACTAACTGTACATTGGTGAGTAAAGATACAAAATCTAGTAAGATGATGTACTTTATACTTACATTCATGTCTTCCAGGCTGTAGATGAAATCCAAAACATCCTTGACGCTTCTTACGACTGATGTATACCGTAAAGGAGTTGGTATTTATTAGTAACATACTGATGGAAATAAGCTACCCGAGTTCGCTGGTATAACGTTAAAATCCCAACCCGATTTACTTTTATTCATTAGAATAATTTCGTAATCATTTATGGGGAAATGACGTTCATATAAGTTAATAGCAATCAATATCTTACAGTTCTGGAGAATACTGGGTAGATTAGATTTAAACTGATGGCCAATTAGTTGTAAACCAAACTCTGGGAAGTGTGGAACTTTTACGTATAGTTGTAAGCGTATATACAATGTTGTTAGCTTCATTAATTTACTTACCATCTTTGGTGTTGAAAATCAACAAACCGTTTTCAAGTAAATTGCAAAATAAAATTTAATGCTTTATTCATTCGGTGTAAGCTTATGATAATTTATGTTGCGTTACTGCTTCTGGACTACTGTGGTGGTTGTGATTTCATATTTATCAGAGTATATTTTATTCGTGTTTCCTCCCAGGTTGTCATTTCTTTGAATTTATTCTTGAAAAAGCCTTTTTACCAACCAACTTACGGAAAACTACTTCGAGTTGCTTATAAACGGCGGATTCATGGATTCACTGATGGGCTTGAAAATATTATCGAAACAAAAGTTTCTGAAACTGATGTTAGTAAACGCATATCTGGTCAAGAGTTGACGTACAAAGGGAAAAATGAGCGTGTCATATTTTCAGCCAATCAAGTAATTCTTACTTTACACGGTTGTATTTTATCATTTATCCTCCAACAGTGCTCAAATAATTATCTATTTCTTAATTGTTTTTAAGTATTAGTGATTTTGAGATATTCACGTTGGTTTAAACTATTATTAATCGTTATGAGATCACTTGAATAGCTAGTTTTCTAAACCATTTGCCTTCATATATATAGTCGCTCTTAAAACATATTTTTATGATTGCATATGCTTATACAAAGTTATGTGATATCAAACAGTTGTATGCGTTATTGAGTTCATTTTTCTCAGCTGAAAATGTAGTAGTCATAAATCCGTCCAATTACCAGGTGATCTAAAATTGCATTTGACTTTTAAGTTTAGTTGGCACTTAATAATAAGCTACGTTCTACCTCATACTTAACCATTATGGAATATTGTTGTGTTTTCATGGTATGCTGTCGTCATCAATTTTTTTACAGTGTTTATCTATTTAGTGAATCAAAATCCTAATCATGTTCAAATTCGTAGGTTTACTAGTTTATCTTGCCAGTGTTCATTCATAATGCCAAATCCATATTGTCATTTATTCCCAGTACTAGTAAATAAACTGCAAGATTTTTATGTTCTTATTGCTTTCGATTTCATATTTATTTGTGTCATACTTGTGTTTGCTGTATCACCAGCTTTTGTTAATGAAATTAGGTTAGTGTCAATCGCCCGGTCGAAGATAGGTGGATGGCTTCTCATTTTGGTGAAGGGGATTTTAGTTCTCTTACTCTCAGCGATCACAAACAATCGAACGATGAGAAATCGGTTTATGGTGGTACAATATTTACAGTTGTTGATGGGCATGGTGGACATGCTTGTGCTCATGCAGTCAATTTGCTACACAGTGATTACATAATTTCTGGTCTTCTACCTCCAAAAGTTTCTGAAGTTGCTTTACGAAATCTCCACCAAATTAAGGAGTTACGTACTCCGCGTTCAATTTGTGAGTTGGCGGTCACATTGTGGATGACTTCTGGTGCAGTGGTTACCGGGGAATCTGAACGTATCGAGTTCGGTTTGAAAGCGGATATAAATTCCAGATTTCCCAATCCTAATCTGACTTCTATGCATATTCAGCCTAGTGTTAGCTGGGGGCCTTGGGGTCCCTGGGGCCCTCTACCGTTGTCTGTTCGTGATGCACATACTGGACATATCAGTAAATTTCTTGAAGAATTACTGTCAACCTGTGATGAAAGGGGTAGGTCGCACAGTTTGGATGCTTAACTTACACAATTTAAGTTTTTTCAGCTTTTATATTTTTTTGGATTTATTTAGATTTCATGCGGTTTATTTGAATAATAATTTATATAACTGATTAGTTCCATCACCTTCAATTCTCTTTTTGGTGGTAGAGAAGCAGTCCGTGATTGTTTTTGATATTTTTATGTAATTTTACCAATCATATCCGATAGCCTTTCAGTTTGGTTCAATATCCAATCCATTTGTACTGTTGTATTACATTGGTAATTTCCTATCGATATGTTGGTGTTAGTTGTGTAGCATCTTAAAGCAAAAAAAAACATTTGTGTCAGGTTTTATGCTGTTTATGTTAATTTGTCTGAAGATTTTCAGGATAGACCCTTCAACAAAATGATAGTTTTAAGGTTTGAGAGTCACAAAAGTAGGTTTGTTAACAAAACTTAACAGTATTCCTAACAGTCCAGGCTTCATGTATAGTTTTATGTTTATGCTTTGTCACTGTTTAAATCTCTGATTAAAAACGTTTACAAGGTGTCGAATTAGTGCAGCAGTGTTCACACTACGGAAAACGGGGTTTATATCAGCATCCCTTCCCGCTTTTCTTAGGCTTTGAGGGTAATGGTTTTGTTTTTGTATTGCCGAACATTAGGTCATAGGGGTATATAAAATCTGATTTATTTGCATTAATTACATTAGTTCACTGAAGTTCCTATCAAAACATAGGATTCAACTTTAGTTTCATCTCGTATTTTTCATTCTCTGACCATTCATTGATTCATATCCATATGTTTGTAAACTTTTCATCGTAGCATGCATTTGCTTGACTAATTATTTTTTAATACTACATACTATTATCCATTTGTTAATACGAAAGAAATCATTGGGCCATTTAACTAGTACAATTACTGGATCTTTTTTAATTCCAAAGTGAGTATGTATATTTGCATCTCTTCATCGTCATATTCTGTGTACACTAATGTAGTACAAAAGACGTATCATGAGAATGTATTGCCTTTTAGACCGTATGCTTAGAGGTGCATGACCGTCTAAGGACCTTGAAACGAATGCGTTAATTAGTTCCATCCTCACCATGTTCCTCTAAGTAGCTTCTCGTTGATTGTTTTTTCTAACAGTTCTTTTTGCTTAGTGATTTACTGATTGATTCGCAGTCGATTAGCAGAATGGTTGACTAAATCAAAGTTTTTTCTTACATGAGGAGTGAAGTAGTTTAGTCAGTTATAGATTACCAGTTCGAACCTTCTTCCTCAACTGTGTTAACTGGAAGTTGAATAAGTTATCAAAGTCGATAATACCTTTAGGGTCAGACGGTAATCAGGGGTTTAAAATATAATTGAGCTTAGACTGTAGACAAGTCAAATTATCATCGTCGTTTAGGCGGCATATTCAGTATTTTATGCGTTTATTTTCGTAAGCTGTTTTTCAAAGCAAATCGTGATACATTTTATTAATGAATAATTAGCTTCGCGGAATTTTTATATATTTGAAGCGTTATGGTTTTCGTAATATTTTAAAAATTTTCACTTCAGAGTTTTTCTTCAGTGATAATAGTGAGGGTGATATGATTGATCCAGATGGGTTCATTACTGCTCCATTAAATGCGATTAAGGAAACTGTCATGAAATACTCCGAGCCTTCGTCTTCGTTAAGGCGATCAGAAGATCCCACTTTGTCCTCAGGTTTGTTAGCTAAGTTTAATCTTCATTCTTTTGATTCAGACTTCGATCAGTCTGTTGATGATTTGCGCAACTATGTAGCGGCTACTGCTTGGGCCCTGAGGAACGGTCTTCTTCGAATGGATCTGGATATGTCCTTGGCAGCATGCCCTACTTTCCATGGTCCTGTGTTAGACAAAGCTTTATTACGTGTTGTGTTTGCTGGCTGTGTAGCAACCTCGGTCTATATACCTCGACATCGAAAAGAAATTTTTGCTGCTCAGGTGAGTTAAAAGTTGCTATACTAAATTTTTAAGTATGTAGAGTTTTCTGACCCATAAAAGTCGTTTCCTGGGTACTGGAAGGGGGGTCTTAATCATTGTAATTATATTTAAGGACATACTTTTGCTGCCGAAGATATATTTTGACAAATCTGGTGTTGGGAATTTTGGATATATCCATTTGGTAACAAAGGAGATCTTGACTTTGTCTTACCGAAATTTATTTATTTATTTGAACACATAAATATTGGTACAAGAGAGCGCCAATATATATGCGCCACACAAAACAATGGGAATTCGAAGAGAAGTAGAAAGAGAAAAAAAAACTAAGGAACGCAAAAGAAAAAGAGAACAATGACGAAGAGATTGGAGTAAGGTAGTGTGGTAGTAACGACGGAACGACAAGGTACAATCAGAAGAAATCTTTCAGGTAAAGGAGACACAACCACTTTTTATAAAGAAAGTAAAAGAAGGTTACAGCAGGATCGCCACTGGCTTCTATTCTGAGCCATATCTGATAACGTCTCTAGCCACTGTGTAGCACCATCTCTCGGACCCCAACCAGGGAGTCGTGAAGGACCAACACAAGCCAGTCCTTTGCAGCTTTCTTTCATGCCACGACACCATGTCATGCACTGACCACCTCTCCGCTTTCTCCAACCAGTCCCAGAGTCGGCAAATAATGCACGACGTGGAATTCTCTGAGACGACATTCGTAGAACATGTCCAAGCCACCGAAGTCGGTGTTTCAAGATGGTAACACCAATTGAGTTATCATCTCTGTGCCCGAACACACGATGCCGAACCTCTGCATTACTGACATGGTGTTGCCACTGAATGTCAGCAATCCTTCGGAGACAGTGATGATCGAACACAGAGAGTCGTCTAACGTCCTCAACTCGGAGAGGCCAGGTTTCACAAGCATAGAGCAAAACTGCTCTCACCGACGCGTTGTAGATCCGGCCTTTTACAGCCAGACTAACATCACGAAGGCGCCAAAGGTGGCCCAGATTGGCATAAGCCGCTCTGGCTTTCACTATTCGTGCATTGATCTCATCACTCACACCCCCACCAGCACTTATGCAGCTACCCAGATACACGAACTTCTCAACTACGTCTATCTGCTCACCGTCCAGGGTGAGTACAGGATTGGAATCCTGCCAGTCTTGTAGAAGTACTTTGCACTTCGAAGGTGCAAAGCACATACCATACCTACGGACACTGATTGCCAACTGATTAAGTGCCGATTGCATGCCTTGGGCATTATCGCACAGTAAGACAATATCGTCCGCATACTCAAGGTCGAGAAGTCTTTCTCCAGGCAACAAATCCACACCACCATTACTTACATTCATCAGAGCTGTTTCCAGAATGTCATCGATGGCAAAGTTGAAGAGGAATGGTGAGATTGGGCAACCCTGCCTAACCCCACTGCTCGAATGGAACAATGGAGAGAGGTGGTTGTATGCCCTCACTCTGCCTGAGGTGTTTTTATACAGGGCTTTTAGGATGTTAATAAACTTCTCAGGCACACCCTTCTTCAATAGACAATCCCAGAGAACAGTCCGATCCAACGAATCGAAGGCAGCCCTGATGTCAAGAAACACTACGATTGTTGGCCTTTGAAAAGTATGACGGTGTTCTAACATTTGGCGGAGGGTGAAAATATGATCAATACATCCTCGACCAAAACGAAACCCGGCCTACTCCTCGCGAGTCAATCTTTCTCGGTTTTTGAACAACCTACGAAGAATGACGGAAGCCAATAGCTTGGACGCAATCGGAAGTAAACTTATCCCCCGATAGTTATTACAAGAACGACGTGAACCCTTTTTAAAAATAGGGACAACTATCGACTCATTCCATGACGTTGGTACACTCTCTAGTTCCCAAACCTTTGCAAACAACGTCGTCAATTCCTTAGTCAAAAAGTCACCACCATCTTTAAAAAGAGCCGGAGGTAAGTCATCTGGGCCAGGTGATTTGTAACGCTCCAAGAGTTGGAGTTACTTGCGGACTTCCTCCTCATTTGGTGGATCAGTCGTCACCGGCCATGGAGGGCAGGACAGTCTGACCGATGTTGCCGGAGCAGCAGGCCAGTTGAACTGCCCTTCGAAAAATTCTGCCCATCGTCCAAGACGTCGATGGATGTTAGTGATTGGCATCCCATCATCCTCGCAGATTGTTTCACTCACACCAGACTTCTTGCTGCCAGTGGCTCGGATGAGCTGGAAGAGCTTCCGGTAGTTACCAGATGCAGCTGCTGCTTCCAACTCATTAGCACGCATCGACCACCAGGCTTCTCGGTCCTTACGCAAGCTTTGCCCAATTTCCTTACGTAACATCCTTCGTTTATGGTCAAACTCACGGTCACCCGGAGTAGACCGACGGGCTTCAATGAGTTGTAAGGAACCAGAAGAAACCCAGTGCTTATAAGCGGGACGTTTCGCAAACCCACAACTGACTTTGTTCGCCATTTTCATGGCGTCATTCAATTGCAACCAATGCTCATCTATACTTTTCGGTGGAATGGTAGCTAGCCTAGAAGCTAGCTCGGTTCGATACTTACTTCCAACAGAAGTTGCAACCAACTTGCTGACATCAACCCTTCGGTGGCGATCACTTCGTTGTCCACTGAAAAGTAAGGCAAGATTGGCGCAGACCAGGGCATGATCAGAGTCCAGATAGGTACTCCAAAAGGAGCGGCAGTCTTGTACACAACCACGCCAGCGGTTGATCGCGATGTGATCAATCTGAATTCAAGCTTGAGATGCAGAGGGAGGACGCCAGGTGGTGCATCGACGATGACTGTGCCGAAAGTTAGTGCTAGCCAGAAACAGGTTGTGGTCTGTGCACAGTTGCAGTAGACGGTCCCCGTTATCTGACCTGCGACCAACGAGTCCCCATCGGCCACCTAAACGACTCTCTTCTGTGCCTAGACGCCCGACCTGAGCATTCAAGTTTCCGGCTAGTACTACAATATCTGTGGAACGCACTTTCTGAAGAAGAATAGTTATCTGGTGGTGGAATTCATCCTTGATTGCATCCGGGCTGCGATCTGTCGGGGTATAGGCAGAGATGACGAAAAAACATCGTTTCTCACACCGATTTCTTCTCACTTTGATGGAACCTTCTAATGTAACAGCACACAACCGACTATTAATGGGAATCCAATCGACTGGTGCTGCCTCAGCTCTAGCGCTTAGTGCGACACCAACGCCAGCAAGACCAGACGAAGATGCCACAGGGTCCCCGGATAAGCGCACGTAAAACAAGCTTTTCGAAGCGACAGATGGAGATCGAATTTGTAGTACTTCGCCAGAGTCTTGAATACGGGTCTCGGATAGACAACACACGTCGATATTAAGACTTTCCAAAGACATAGCCAGCCCTATCTGTTGTCCGACCTGCATAAATGTGCGAACGTTGAAGGCAGCCAGTTTGAATGGTGCACGTGGTTTCAGAAAAACTGCTTCAGTCCTCGTATTCGGTGGTAACATACAATTTTCAACCGGACAGTGACTCGAGAACGTTTAGATACAGTCGGATTTCCACCAAAGACGAGCCACTGTATAGGTATAAAAGAGGGTGAATAATGTGGAAAATAATAATAATAATGATAATAATAACAACAATGACAATAATAGTAGTAATAATAATATTAGTATTAATAATGACAATAATTGTAATGATAATAATCTGAATCAATTGTTTGTTTTTCAAAGCGAGAAAGGTAATTTCCATAGGCATAAAGAGTTCATCAATTTGTGTGTGGGCTGTGATACTGCCCGGGTGCCCAAACCGAAGCAGGTGGTTATCTTAGGGGGCCACTCCCCGAGCCTTTGACCTAAAGGTCTAACCCACAAGGCAGTGGAGCATCGTAAAGAGATGCAGTCCCATGGTAGCCGGTGACCAACGATTGGTTCATACGCCATTCGTTCCCGCGGGATACTGGAGCCCATGTGCACCATTGATTTGGAAACCGGTTAAAGCGCCGGACATTCGCTTTTCGTCCTCTCATTTTCGTAGACAACACCCCCGCCACGAGAAGGCAATGAGTAGGACTTCCCTGGCAGAGGCTGTATACGCGTGGCCGTGTGAGAGTATTTCGAGAGGGAGAGCGGACTCTCCCCACTCTCGGCCGTACCAGGGCATTCAGGGGGTCTTACCGAAATAAGTGATCGGTTTTTCCCCTCAGTACATTAATTGTTCTGTAATTAATCTCTGGTTTTATGCATATATAAGACAAAATGTAGTCTGTTTTTTAATAAGTTTTACGGTGATATCACGCACTATAATATCCGTTTGCCAACTACCGAAAACTGAACGTAGTAACCCATTCAGAAAGAGTCTGGAAAAATTATACTACAAACTGTACTATAGCCAGACTTCATTAAATTTTCTTAAATCTTCACGGTAACAAATAAAGCATCTAAATTTTTAAATTATTTTGTCAAATTTTTCATAAAGAAATAATATACCTATAAATCGAGACAGATGATTAGAAGTTGTTCATCGCTGGGTTAGAAGACAAAAACTAACATCTTATTCTCTATGAATACATGACAAATTATTTAGCCTTCTGACCGCCACAAACGTGTTAATGACAGTAAACTTTACTAGCTTTTTCTAGTTAACCATTTTGTGGCGGTTAATATTTCAGTTATTATTCTTAAAAAAATGTACATAGAAGACAGTCATTTTTTAATAACATAAACATAGAAATGTAATTTGTAGGATGTATGAGTCCTTTCCATTTTGTTGTGGTAATATGAGTATGATAGTAGGCGTCAAGTTTACATGTGTCGATAATCAGAAAAAATTAATATATCAATCGTTTTTCGTCTTTTAGTAATCTGTTTGTATCATTGATTTACACTTTATTTATTTAAACACATAAACATTGGTACAAGGAGGCACCAAATAGATATGCACCATATAGATCATTCGATTTTTGTGAGGACTGAGATACTGCTCGGATGTTCAGACCGAAGCAGGTGGTT